CTTCTATAATTTGCGTTATTTCTTCGAACGCGGTAGGTGTAGCACTTAGCAGCATCCGCGATCGCTCGTCGCTGACAAACGCATTAACATAATCCCGTTCCTTCCTCGCTTGTGGAATCGACGGGTACGAATCAGCACGCGAGTTGAATTTTGGGATGCGAGCAAAAAGACGATTAGTTTGCTCATCCGCTTCACTCGGTCTAATGATCATTTCGAGTTTGACGATCAATCTTAACTGATCCGAAGAAACGAAGTAAATTTACGCGGTCGATTAACCCGCGAATTTCTTGCTATTAACATATTTCTTATTTAATTTCGATTTACACACACATATACGTAAATTTCGAGTTTAAAACGCAAAATTTTGTGTCACTTATTGCTCGACGATTTATTCCGAAATCGTCTGGATGCGGATTAATCTCGATGCGTTTCATAAAAATGTTGTGAGGGATTGTCCTCGTCGGTGACAAGGATTCAATAGAAGAGAGACTATAAATGTCCTGTGTATCGAAAATGTCAAGTCATAAAACAGAATATCCCATTAACCGCATCGATAGCCGATATGAGAGAGTCATCTCGAAGTTTTTTTCTTTGCCTTCGGTGACCGTTACATTTTTTGTGCTCTTCGGTGTATATCGTGGAACGATACGTGGACCTTGAAAATCTTTCGCTTCTCGACGATTTCCGTGTGCTACGGCTTGGCGCCAAACTTAACGCAAACGGTTTTACATTTTGTCGGCTTATCCGCAAGCTATGAGCTAAATCGCGCCGAAGGTAACTCGACCTAAAGAAATAAGAATTTCGAGAACGGATATGTGTCTGCGAATCGGATTGAAGATATAAATCCGCGGATGGAAGAAGAGCCACACAGAGTAAAGACGTGCAATGTAAGACACTGTTACGGTATCGAATGTCCTAATCTTGAATAAGAAACAGACGGGGGGAAGAAAGCCTCTTTTGAACGAAAGAGAAGAGAATTACTGCCGGTGGCCACTAAACATACCGGTACACTTGAGTGAAACCGACGAGGAAAAGCCTCGAGAGAATAGAAACATATCACTTTCTTGAAGATGGGGAATAACATTTTTGAGCGAGGAAAAATGGCAAGAAAACTAACTGAGGTGCATGTACAAAAGATACTTTAGAAGTTGCGCATTATCACAAAATGAGAAAAGATATTGATTCCAATTATAAAACAGTGCTGAAATATTAGAAATAACACATGTGTATCTTCTCTTGTAATAATTCTTTTCGCGCAAAATTATTTCTCGCGCGAAAAAATTCTTCTTTCGTTAAAAATTAATTATACTCGCTTTTATTTAATCTACATAAAAAGAAACGCAATCCGAGTGGTGTCGTCGCGTTGCGGTACTCGTTAGCAGTTTTCAGACGCAGAGTGAAATTACAGTCGAGGATGAACAGACGCGATCAAGGTTTGCGCGGAAGAAGCGCGGAAGGGCGGAAGAGAGAATCACGGGGTTAGATATTACTCGGTACCGGAGTCGCTTGCCAACTGGCTTTGATACATTACCGAGCGATAATCCTATCTGCGCGCAAAGCTAGAACAACGATACAACGGGTGCAACTGGATGCCGTGTCGACTCCGTTGCACCTACAATATGCATCCAGTCTGTCTGCTCGCGCAGGCGAGAGTTGTGTGTCTAAGATGCTTATATAGCGCAGAGAAATAAGCGCCAGTGTATGCACACGGTGTCATCCGAGGTAAGAGCCTAAGATGGAGGTCCGTCAGCAAAAGAAGAGCAGCCTTTGCTAAGAATGATTACAGTGCAACTCGTTGATGAAAAAAAAAAAAAAAAATTTTACATTACGTAAATTGTCACGTATCAAAAGTCACATAAAGCAAGCAAAAATAAAGCAAGCACTCAGTTTCGCACCGTCAAAAGCAATTTGCTTATTTTTTAAACAAAAACTTCAAATAACTCGTTTTTGCACGCAGTAGTGACTCAATAAAGATGACATACGATGTTTTGCAGATATTTTTGCGAGAATCAAAAGAAAGTGCGAAACTATAAACATCAATTGATAATATTGTCGACAACGTATATAACAAGCTTTCCCGTATCCTGCAATTGCGTCTCAAAACTAGCGAAAAACGAGCGTTGCGTATCGCTCCCGGGCCGTACTGCAGTTCGAAAAATTGATTCCAATAATCTTTTCTTCAGAAGAAAGAGAGAGAGAGAGAGAGAGAGAGAGAGAGAGAGAGAGAGATCTTCAGTTGTGATCAAGTGAGAAAAAATGAATAGAAAAACTCAAAGTTCTCGATACATACCGATACGTATGGCCGTGCACGGATTGCCCCGGGGCTGTCCGACAAAATTGCATCCGGAATTTCAATATAGCGCATATCATATTTCAGCCTTAAAACGCCGGCAGCGCTGTCCGGGTATTACTTTGAGACTCCGTGGCCGCGGAAGCCGACTTTGCCCGATTATAGAGATTCTGACTGCGGTAAGATATACACGCGCGCAGGTAAAGCACGGGAAGGGACCGAAGGATGCGCGACCATTCCCCTCCTTTCTCCTCTTTCCAGGTCTGATCCTTTTACCGGGGCGGAGCAGCCTGCAGGGGACATTAGACGGTTTTCGCTCAGAATAAATGATCAAAAGGTAACTCCGGATTAAAGCTGTCGCTCGCCCGGTGGCGACACGCTCGCGCTCATACGCTCCGCTACCCCTGATGTTGCGCTTTTACAAAGTGATTTAATCAAATTTTCAGAAAAGTCGGCGATGCAATTAATACGCATTCGCTTGTGCTGAAAGCCACGTGCGCGCGCGCGCGCGCGCTTTATCTCTGAGCTTTTCCAAATTCTCTCTCAGATTTGAAACTGATTCCAATTTCAAATTAATGAAAATTTAATGAACGATCAAAATTGCATCCGTGTGATTTAAGTTCGATTGCAAATAGAGAAAACGGCAGTTTATTTGATCAATTTCAAATGGTCTTGTATTGATTACTTAATTTATATAAATGTGCGTCTATTCTCTTGAGAAAGAAAGAAAGATAGAAACTATATACATATACTCTGTGCTGAGAATATTATTTTATCTCGTCCTTAATTTTTTTTCCCACTAGAAATGTAGGTAATAAAGACATAAAATTGAATAAAAGAAATATAAGAAATATGATACAGAAATGTTCAGTAATTACTGCGCACTTAATACGAGATGTGTATATATATATATATATATATTACAATAATATATATATAATAATAAGTTTAACTAAAATACTTTTCTTTCCACAAGAACGTCTAATAGAATATAATTATTAATAGCTACATATATAAAAGTGCTAGGTAATAGATTATAAGCCGGTTATTCTTTCAAACTACACACTTTTTTTAACGCACGTCGGAGAAAAGGAAAATTATCGTGGTTCGAAGGTGAGAAAGACGAGAGAAATTAATGTCTGTTCGTTAAAAACGGTTTGTGCTCGCGTCGTAGAATTTAATTACTAGTGTGAGTAAAAATAAATGAACGGCCACGAGAAATGTCGATTTAACGAGGAGGAACAAGCATATCACTATCGGAACACACCGACGATGTTCGTCATTAGATGAAACGACTTTTCGAGCAATTTCTACAGTATCCTGCGATCTTCAGGAATGACGACGACGATCGAAACGCTTTTTTTTTCATTAATGAAAGATATCATAAACGAGTTCCAAAGTAATCTTTCGCCAAGTGCACGTCCCGGAGCACGGAACAATTTTCTTTCGTTTGAGTTTACTCGCTCACGCTTATCGAGTGAAACTCTTTCTCTTTCTTTCTCTTTCTCTCTGTCTTCGCAAGCAAAAATTTCTCATTATGACTTATCCGCGATCGACCGGCGAGACGTATACTCCGGAAATCGCATCGACGACAAAGATGATAAACCCGCGAAATCGACAAGACGATCGCGAAGACAGGGAGCGAAAACGTAATTCACGGGGACGAAGCTCGTGAATGCGGATCTCAGCGAGACAATAACGTCGTTTCCTCTCACGCTGGAAAGAACACGCGGGTAGAAGTAAACGAATCGGAAATTGTTAGAGAGCGCAGAGGAAAGACAGGGATTTCGCGACATTCGCGCCACCGAGTGGATGGTTGTGTAGCTTGACGGGAGGTGATTTATCGTTTCGAGTAAGAAAAAGAAAGTTCTTTCGTTAAAGAACAGGCGATGCGCCGGCATAAATGAAATCAGTTGCACCCGCAACTGTAACGAAAACATTTATTCGGCAAATTAAATCGTGAGAGAATGGTAGAGATTGATCTCGCGAGTTATGCGACACGTTGGTGGAAGATCCCGGGAGGATGTCTCGGTGATACCTCGTCGTTTATCACGGCGACGAATGGAGAGCTCGTGAAGTCCGGGAAATCGTCCAATATGCGGTGCTTGCATTCCGCTACCAAGTTCGTCGTGTGAGTTGCGATGATTAATTTATAACATAGGGCTACGTATGTTACAGACAGTATGTTGTCGATGTGCGAAACGACCCTAATCACATTAGGTGACGGTGCCATGATCGATTTATGATAGGATCGGTCATTCTGTTTCGTTCAGCTTATATAACACCGGCAGTACGAGCTGCAGCGTTCGCAACATTCACGTCACGCTTATCTTGCTTGGCGTGTTACGAGCTCGCATCTACATGTACATTATGATAATAGAAGCGAGCTGGCTAATTAATCGATCCGTATGTAACCGCTTCCTACCGACCTCAACCAATTTCAGTTTGCATTATTCCATATTTATGTCGTGCAACCTCTGTACTGTACATCAAAACGATTAATTTCTGCGCAAAACTGAACTTTATACTATACGTATATTCATCTCGTAATTATTTTCCGCTTAATTTTCTGCTTCGTGCGATAAAATCAATTATACGAATGCGTAGTTTATATTTCTTTGCGCAACGATATTTAAATTAAAAAACAATACACATTTAATACGACATTTATATTAATCGCGAGACATACTGGTGTGTTTCTAGTGTGCCATTTGCTCCGTAACGGCGTGGCGGCAATTTTTGGACCGCAGAGCGCGCACACGGCGTCTCACGTGCAAAGCATTTGCGACACCATGGAAATTCCACACTTGGAGACACGCTGGGACTACCGGCTTAGAAGGCAGAGCTGTCTCGTCAACCTCTATCCACACCCTACCACTTTGTCCAAGGTACGTACACAAACTTGTGGAATAATAGCCTCATTAAAGCGACACCCGTTTCGTAGGAAATCTGCCTTCGTGGCCTCTCGCTTACGTTCTACGGATTCCTCGCCTCTCTTGTAGTTGTTTTGTCTCACGAGTCTCTCTCATCAACGAGCAAAAGTTTGGCTTTTCTCCGTAGCTTTTTTTTGTAGACGTGATGATCGTCGCCCTCAATCAAGACAGTTTTTCCTCGAGCAGTTTACGTTGTAATCTCATCACAGAAGTAAGACAAGAATTAATTTGAAAAAACGTCAAATTTACCGTGAAAAGAAAATTCGTTGTTTCTGTAAAATTAGATTAAAATTTACATAAAATACTTTTATACATAAAATACGTACAATTTATTTAGAATTTATTGTAGAGAGAAACACAGATTTAAAAAGCCACTTTAAACGCGGAATCTAATCAATGAAATGAAAAATCATTTCGGTTTTTACGATTTACTCGCGTTTCTTATCGAGCGCGGAAAAGATTGCCAACCAACGCGTTCGCAGCTACAATCCAGTTGCATCAACGGGCATCGGATGGTGTGTACCCACAGCGCAGCAGTTCTGAACTTAACGCAAAAGAACTGAAACTTTCTGAATTTCTCTTAATAAACGCGAAGTTCCGGGAAGGAGCGCGGACTGGAAGTCCCAGGTCGCGGGTTTGTGTATAGCTCTCGGGGCTTTTGGGTTAACGAGAGTTCTCTTTCTGCCTGCTCTCGTCGTCTCATGAATCCTCGCACGACTCCTTTCCTCTTCCCTTCACTAATATTTGCCACTCGCGAATACTTGCACCTCGCGCGACATTACGCTCTCTTTCTCTCTTCCTTCACTCTGTCGCGTCCTCTCTCAATATTTGCCAGTCGATTTGTTGTCCCCCGTTTCACCGAGAGCGTGTTCCGCGCTTACCCTTCTCCGTATAGGACATGGAATTCTGCTTATCGTTCGTCATTGAGTTTCTCTTTTATTTTTCGAAAGGGACTCGCATGCGGAAATAACGGAAAATAAATATCCGCGGCTGCGAGGCACTTCGCGCTTCAAACGGGAGAACAACTGTGAAAAAGTCGATAAATCTGCTGCTGCGAGCAAGTAAACCGCGCAAAAGATTTTCCAGAGATCTGAGAGAGAGTGAGATGTGACAGTTTTGTCTGTGTGATATATATGCGTCAAAGGCCGCTTCTTACTTACATATAAGCCCATCTTTAAATATATATATATATATATATATATGTATAAACTTGAGTTTTATATAATTATTGTGCAATAAGTATAAAGAGAAGCAAGAAAAGATTTTTTTTATTTCTACGATGGATTTCTTGTAAACTTTTATGGATTACGTTAACAATATTGATGGTTTGATAATAATTTGCGGTCGCGAACGTTGCTTTGACATCGTCGATCAAAGAGCTTTCGACAGTGTTGCACAAAGGACACAATTTAAAAGCCATCACATACCTCAAGCTGTCCGCTATTTTCCTCTTTCACTGTCTCTCTTTCTCTTCCGTTAGAGTAAGAATTTCAATTAGAATCTACTCATGTGTCACGCCACTGAGCTTCGAGCAATTGTTAAAACACGAATTTCAATATTGCCATTTCAGTGTGGCAAAATATTCCGATAAACTCGTGATCGTTCGACGCAGCTCTAATTAGCATACATCTGTATTCGTACAAATATATCCGATGCATATTATTCAGTGTATCAGATTTCGTGTAAAATACACGCGTGCAAAATGTTCCAACAAGAAGATACGTTCTGTGAGAACGTAAACGTCACAACAAATTAGTGTGTACATTTCAATTAATAGTATTAATATATAGAAGTGTATTATACAGTATATTAATATAGTACATATTTCAATTAAAATAGTAATAATATAGAAAGAAATTAATTTTTTGTTGATTTATATGTAACAAATGTATGAATTGCGCGCGGTTGATTTGTTGTCGAGAGTAACAGTATTTATAAAAGAACGGTTGTGAGAAAGACACTCATACTGATTTCTTGCTTTGTAAAATCCCGTGTTTGCACAATGAAATACGAGCGCACAAGACGCGAAGAACACAAAGAAGCTGGAAACGTTTAATAAGCTTTCGCGTTCTGAGGGTGATAAACATCAGGTTTCCTCAGTCTCAGATTTCCATTGTGAGTCTAGTAAAGCGGAGAGAAGTAGCTTACGTCGCCAGTTATTTCACGGCGCTAGACGGGGTTGGTTTTCTCTCGCTCGAGTTCTTTTCTCGTCGGAGCCCCGCCATTTCCAACGGCGAAAATGCAAAATTCACTAGGAGAGCAGCAGCGTCCTGATTAGAGTACTCGACGAAGGGAAAGGAAAATCGAAGAAAGGCGGAGAGTGAGCGAACGCCGGCGTCGATTCCGTCAAACGAGCGACAGCCTCATTCAGTCAACCCGACGACGGAAATATTTTACTTTCCGGGGTACCATCTTACGTGCGGTTCAAAGGAACCGAAGACGATTGCTGGGAGCTGACGGAAAGATGGAGCAAAAAGAAGCCCAACCGTCACAGTGAGTCTCTTTGATTCGTGTCGAGCGAGAACGCGAAGATAACTTTAATACTCTTCATACTGAAACTTCCTGCGCAACAAATTATTACCACAAATGGCGCATTATTTCAAAAATAATAACAAAATAAAAAGGATATAATCGTAGATGTTTGTTTGAAGAACAATATTTAATAAAAAAAATTTTCACTTTTTTCGCTCAAACATCTACGTGTTTAGTTGCTCGTAAAGAGAAAGAGAGATAAAGACAGATCTTTGAATTATATTCTGTTTCATTGCTAAACACATTTTATATTGTAAATAAAGCAGAAATTAATATTAATAGTTTTTTGTTTACAAAAGTGAAGTACTTTGTAAGACTCTTTCCGCGAGAATAATAAGACATTTGTACGATAATTCCGTTGTTCGAAATGTCTCTAATCGAGAGATCGCAATTATCACGCGTTTGCACGCGAAGACGAATTTATCCAATCTCTCTTTGAACTTTGGAACGCCTTGTATCGCCCGTGTTCAAATCGAATTGTCAGGTATTTCGATTCGCATTCCTACACGGACGTGGCTCGTTCCTTTTGGTCTGTGCTTTTCGATCCTAGCGGAAGAAAATAATCCTTTGTAAGATAAGATAGATAGATAGAGAGAGAGAGAGAGAGAGAGCCATCAAGAGAAAATATCTTGCGAACCTTTCCGGAATCCTTAACCTCTTCTTTTAATGTCTCTTTTACCGATCGTCAATGAAAAACAAAAAAACAAAAAAAGAACCAGATTCTTTAAATCATGAAATAATAATACTGAGCACTCAAGTCGCAAGATAACAAACATTATGATGACATAAAGGGCGATATGTCGGTGTTAATGAACCGCGCGCGAGGGGTGCAATTGCCATTACCGCAGCAATGATTTAACAATCTTCCCCGTGGCCGATAATGGACCGGCTTCTGCACTCCGGTGGTCTCCGAGCCAGCAGCCGGTTGTGTATGGATCGGTTGAATCAGCCGCTATGTTGCCGATGGAATTCAATTTGTACCGTTTCCTAGTCGAGCCTTTGCTCGTTATGTTCTACCGTGCCACTTCGTCCAGTTCACAATATCGGCATTGCTATATCGGATCCGGATCTTCAAACATCCGAGAATCATAAGGGAACATTTAACACCAAGCAACATTTAACACGTCGCCCATTAATCGCATGTTTTTCCACTTCACGTATTTCCTCTGATACTTATATCTCAAACAGTCTCTAAATTAAATAACGAAAAAGCAGACTTTATTTTCACTGACAAAAACAATTCTGCATTTTTATTTCACAAACGGTGTGTGTATCAATGAAACAAGCGAGTATTTATTTCGATTTTATTTCTCGAAGTGGTTACTAATCAATGCCATTCAAAGAACGCACTCGGAGAATCCGGCACGTACAGCTGGGAAGCGATTGAAATCCGATTGCGCTTTCTCCTCTTTCTCTCCCGCGTTTTCGCCGATTAGCTATTTACTTCCGTTTCCTTCTTCACGCGGTTTCTTCACACTCATTTGGCGATCTCTCGCAGCGCGCGGTTTTCTTTTCACTTCCGTGTCAGTTTTTTTTTTCTCCCATCGCTATAGAAAACGTATCGAGAGCAAATGGATTGCATTCTCACGTATTCGTCTCTGACGCGGCGATGAGCGCTTTACTTGCCGGTGCCGATCGGCGGATAACGATCGAGTTCGAACTAATCAACTTGATCGTGTAGACGAGCTACACACTTAACTTCTCTCAGAATCTCGAAGTTTTTCAATTTGTTGAGCAACGATTTATTATCACAATATCGAGAAAGTTACTTTTCTCAAAAAATTTACTTTTATTTACTTTTTTATACTCTCGATGAAAAATCTTGTATGTTGCGGGCATTGGTCCTAGAGAAGGATCTCGCGCGGAATGATGTGCTTTATTATTGAGAAAACGACCGGGAAGGATGATCGTCAAAAAATGTAGATGCAATATCTTACACGATAGAGCGGACGTGGAATATGGCACCGTCGAATAAAGCGGTCGCGTTACGTCGGAAGTGAATAACTCCGTTGCGTCTAGTACGTCAGACGTAATCTCGTTTCGAGAAGAGAACGAGCGTAATCGAGAGAGAAAGAGAGAGAGAGAGAGAGAGAAGAAGAAGAGAGTGGAACACAATAGCGGGCACGTCGAGAGATTATCCGTGTTCGCGGCGGACTAAGCCGCTTGTTGCTGCGAGTTTCATCGCTCGTAATCGGCGTCTCACCTTCGCTTTTCGTCGTCATTTTGTCATTTCGCAAACAATTTTAATGGCGACAGTGACATTTGGAGTACGCCAAGGCGAATCTGACCGAAGACGGGCGCACTTTCGCAGAAATACCGTGTGCGAACCTTGAAAATGCATTATTTACGAATGCATTAAGCGGAATTCTATTAAAAGCGGAATTAAGAGCGCCAGTTTTCCTCCGATTTTGCACATCTCTCTT